CAATTTGAATGTAGGAAAAATATCTCAAGACTCTTTCTCTCTCACTTTGCTACTTCCCCTGTGTGGTCTTGTAAGCTTGTATTGTAATTCTCTCGATTTGTATGGTTTTATGATTAAAGAACAAAATAGAGGATTGTGAATTGTACAGTCTTATTACAACTAGCCTGTGTTTTTATGAAAGAAATGGTGCAATGTATTAGGAGTTTCTGTGTCTTTCACAGCACACCGCCTCATCTCAGTAGAGTCGTTCTTTACTAAGCGTCTAACAGCTCACCCAGTAGACTAGACGTTATTAGAAAGGAAACAAAGCTTTTCAGTATTTTCATATTTAGTCGCCCTTGGGTTAGGTAAGCCGTATTTGTAAGCCATCTGATAGAACCCAACAGCTTTTATCACATTTTATATTAGAGTGAGCGACCCGTGAACAGCACAAAATAATTCAAGTAAAAAAAAAACAAAAATGGCGGACAAGAAGAGAGTAGTGAAGTACTTCATCGTTGATGCATTCGCTGAATCCGCCTTCAAAGGAAATCCAGCTGCTGTTTGCTTTCTTGAAGACGGTAACGAGAGAGACGACGACGTGTGGCTTCAATCTCTTTCTACCGAGTTCAACATCTCCGACACTTGTTTCCTCACTCCGATCACCTTGTCCGACCGTGGTTTACCTCGCTTCTGTCTCCGCTGGTTTACTCCAGTCGCTGAGGTTTGCTATAATCGCTAGCTCTTTTGGTTTTGATGATCTTAGATTGTTCAGTTGACTTTTTTTTTTTATCGACTCTTTATGAAATTGGATTTTGAGATTGTGGAAAAGAAGACAAGTATAGAGATCTTGTATGCATGAGATTCCTCTCGTTTCTCTTGTGTGCAGGTGGATCTGTGTGGTCATGCAACGTTAGCATCTGCTCACATACTCTTCTCAACCGGTTTGATTGGTTCGGAAACAGTTGAGTTCGTCACAAGATCAGGGATCCTAACGGCTAAACATGTCAAAAATGATGAATCATCAACCATGTCCATCGAATTGGATTTCCCTATTGTTCCAACTTTTGAAGTCAACTACACTGATGATGATCTCTCTTTGTTCTCCAAAGCCATGAATGGAGCTACCATTGTTGATGTTAAAGCCACAGAGCAAGACATCCTCGTAACTATATATATATATATATATATATATTTTAAGCCAGGCATATGTACTCTCTATTCTTGCTATTGAACCAAATCATTTGGATTATTTGCAGATCGTGCTTCCATCTTGGGAATCTGTAGTTGAACTGCAGCCGAGACTAGAAGAGATATCGAAATGCTCTTGTAAAGGAATGATGGTGAGTGCCGCTGCTTCTCCAGGATCTACATTTGATTTCTGTAGTCGCTACTTTGCACCAAGATTTGGAATCAATGAGGTAACTATATATACAATACAAGTCTTTTTGCATTGCTCTTTAGATTAAAAGGGAGTGATAGCAAAGAAAAACATTACCTCTTTTGCTTTTTTTCTACTTCAGGACCCTGTTACTGGAAGTGCGCATTGTGCCTTGGCACATTACTGGAGCCACAAGCTGAACAAGTGTGATTTCTTGGCCTACCAGGTTCTCTCTTAATATCTTAATATCTTATCTTCTGAGACCGCTTTAGTCTTGATTCCTGAAGAAAGTTTTGGTTATTATGAAATGTGTTTAGGCTTCAAGCAGAGGCGGGACTCTCAAGGTTCATCTGGACAAAGAGAAGCAGAGGGTTTTACTGAGAGGCAAAGCAATCACTGTAATGGAAGGTTGCGTCTTAGTTTGATTTTAAAAAGAAAAATACACACGATCGATATGCAACGTCACAGTTTCGTCTTCCCCTTTGTACTAAACCACTTAATGGCACTCGCTTCATGAACAAGTCTGATATCACCTTTGCAGCTGCACTCCATTTTCAATGAATTAGTCAATTAGCAATGAGTGCTCCAGTCACTGCCTAAACTCAACTTTCAAATGTTAACTAGGGATCAGAAGATAAGATATTAAGATATGTTATAGAAGCACGTACCAGCGCTTCTTCGATTCAAAAATATGTTAAGTGACACACTTCCTACACGACTCATTGGCTTTCCAAAGTTCCTGAACTCATATGTGACAAGAGATCAGTGGCTTTGAACAAAAATTACATTCATTGTAATAACTCACTAGAAGAAGTGACTAAAGCTTACAAGGTCCAGTTCATGAAAGACATGAAGGTTTTTCTTGAATCTTTGAGCCGAAGAGATTGTTCTTGGAGGTTTGATGATTGTTTTAGGACAATGTTTGCCTGATGGTGTCCCCATTTTTAAGACTTGGCAGGGTATGGTGGAGGATATGATTGGTGATTGTCTTATTGCTTAGGATATTTTCTAAATGATTAAGCCATACAATAAGTCAAATTGGTGATTGTCTTATGGATTAATGGATATGGCCAAAATTGTAAGACATTTATATTAAAAAAGCGTCAAAGGTTATTTTTGTTAAGCATCATAGTTTTTGAAGATTACTTTAAATGCTTATTTTCTAAATGATTAAGCTAAGCATATTGAACCATGAGAAAATTGCAAGTAATTAATTGTTAATTTTTCATTGGTAGGGAAAATCAAGCAAGGAAAAGATCGAATTCTTCAACTTACCTGTATATTTTCCGCAATATAGTGAATTGAAGAAATAGATTGAGAAAAATTAAAGATTTAGTATTGAGATGATGGAGATTATAAGTCATCCATTGGAAGATGAACCGTTATCTAATAAGTTCATCACCTCCATGTTTAGAGGCATTCTATATACGATCATTAAAGAACATTTCGGAGATGGTGTGGTTGATGAGCTATTTGATCGTTTTGCTGAGAAACTCGCAAAATTCATGATTAATTTCAAGAACTGCGAAAAACATGTGAACTATTTTATTTTGCTTAAAAGAAAATAAAGAGCGAGATAGTTAGTATTTAAGCAAGAAGTTGTGTTGTTGCTCTATTTGTGTTATCATAATAATTAGATTTTTTTTCATGTCAAGATTATACGAAGAATCTATATATATAAAGTTAGATTTTTCTCTCTTCTCATGATGCCACCTACGCATCCACCTAAGCCACATTTTTGTTTAAATATTAAAATAAATTTAAAAGATTCATTTAGTGCATATTTATGTTCTTATTTAATTAATAGAAAGTTTATATAAATAAAAATAAATTATGTAAAAAAAGTGAAATGTTAAAATAAGAAAAACAATACTTTAATTTTTTATTAGTGGTAATAATATAATTCAACTTTCATTTTAAATTGATCATAATTTAATATTTTAAATATCTTACTGAGTTTTAGAATAGAAGTAAAATTTAAATTTATGGTAGACTAAAACAACATTATGTAATTATATATATAACATTATAAAGAGGAAAAATAAAATGAAAGTAAAATATTAGTTTATAACATGATCAAAAAGAAAAAAAAATGATATTTCATAAATAATCAAATGCTTTTAATCTAAATTTGAGTATTGAAAGATAATAATTAAAGAGAAAATAATTATAATATTTTTTGAAAATCAATTAAAAAATAATAAAATATCACAATATGAATAAAAAATCAACGAAACAAAATTATAAACCTCCCGCGCGGAGCGCGGATCAACTGCTAAAATTAAAGTGAAATATTAGTTTATAACATGATCAAAAGGAAAAAAAAATGATATTTCATAAATTGAATCAAATGCTTTTAATCCAAATTTGAGTATTGAAAGATAATAATTAAAGAGAAAATAATTATAATATTTTTGAAAATCAATTAAAAAAATAATAAAATATCACAATATGAATAAAAAATCAATGAAACAAAATTATAAACTTCCAGCGCGGAGCGCGGGTCAACTGCTAGTATATATATATATATAATAATCTTGTTAATTTTAGATACATTCTTGAGTTGATCAAAAGAATAGTCGTTAAAGACAAGCTGTATAAATCAAAAGGTAGTGGTCGTGATGATAAAAATCATGTGGTAATGGTGTCAACATTCTACGTAGGCTCAAAGTAAGCAACCATCCAAAATTGTTCTTTGGTTGGCTACATGTCGCGTTAGCTATATTTAAAACCAACAGGAGAATTTTATAAGTATCTTTTTTCAAGTATCACTTTGTAAAAATACTTTTTTTTTTAATTATCACAAAAACCATTAAAAATGTTGAATTTGTTACGAATATGTGTGTGAACTTATATATATACACTTAATTTACTTTTTTAGGTGTATAAAATTTTATATATCTTTTACATATAGCGTAAAAATGACTTATCAAAGTCTTTTAAAAAACTTTTTAAAAATATTATAAACCCTTTTAAAAACTTTGTAAAACTTGTAAAAACGATTTAAATAATTTTAAAATATTATAAAATATTTGTATTGAATCTTTCAGTAGTGGTTATTATATAAAAATACGTTATCAACCATATAAAACTTTACATTTTTTTATATTTAAACATGGATGTTTTTTAAAATGGATAGATTAAAGGGTATTTTTGAAAATGAGTATTTTTGAAAATGGGTATTTCTCTCCCCTAGTTTTATTACAAAATATTTTTTCTTTTCTTAAAAAACATTGCTACAATATCTAAAAAATTAATCGATAAAGTAAAATATTTTTTGATCTCGAATTATTTTTTACTTTTTATAATTAATTGCATGGTATAACATCTATAAATTAGTACTCGATGATTAACTTTGGTCTCGAGTTAAGCTAATGTAATATATAAAAAAATCAATCAAATAATATATTTTTTAATTTTATTTTGAAAACACTATGGAAATATATATAGTCTTATTTACTATCATAAAGTGTAAAAACATTTAAAAGTAAATGGTAGAAATAGAATAGATAATTTTCTCTAATTTCTTCTCCTGGAATTTAAAGCTCTCCCGCCAAAATCGTTAACCGGTAATTCCCGGTTGCTTACCCTCATAGCGACCGGTTAAAAAAAAAACCATTCCTAGTCTGATCGACCACCATTCTTCTCACTCCGGCGATTTCACTTTGCCTTTTCAGGGAAAAATCGAAAACCCTAATTACCAAAGATTCACTCGTCTTTGTCATCTTCTAAAGCAAATCCTCATCTGGGTCTCTCCAGATTTCGATGAAACTTCAAAAAACTTAGGATTTTTAAACTCAAATTTGAATCCCCTGAGTTTTGGTTTGCCAATTCCGTAATGAGCTCAATCAATATCACTAACGTCACCGTCTTGGACAATCCAGCGTCTTTTGTTAACCCATTCCAGTTCGAGGTCTCTTACGAGTGCTTGACTTCTCTTAAAGACGGTACCTTTTCACTTACCCTCTTCCTCTATACTTAGATTTGGATTCTGTGTTGATTTGATTTGGTTTCGGTGTTATATGCTTTGGTTGATGTGGAAACGGTGGAAGAAGTGATGAATCTGTGACTAATCCTTCAAATATTTCAGCTTTTTGGGGTTTTAATATATGATTTGATAGCTAATTTGGATTTGGCTTCTCTTTGGCTTCTATAAGTTCTTATTTTGACGTTGTAGTTTTGGTGTTAGGAGGTTTATCTTGACTGCTCTTATGTTAAATTAGAAAACTTTGGGAAGCTTGTGAGGATGAATTGTATCTCTGGTTCTGTAGAGTGTTGATTTCACACATTACTTTCTAGATTGGTTCTTGATTATGGCTATGAATTATCGTTCAAGAAATTCCCAATTGTAAAGCTTAGAACTTTGGCTGATATCAACTGGTTTAGTTTCTGTGCTTGTTAATAATAGTGATTGCTGGTGATGATTGTATTCTTGTAAGCACGATATTATGTTTCAACTTCTGTGTGTAATTTTTTGGCTTCTAAGTTGGTTTTATATCTGTAAAGGTTCTTGTTAGGAGGCTTATCTTGTCTGCTCTTATGTTAAATTGGAAAACTTTGGGAAGCTTGTGAGAATGAAATTGTATCTCTGGTTATGTAGAGTTTTGACTTCACACATTACTTTCTGGAAGTTATGGGTTCATAAATATGGCTATGAATTATCGTTATAGACATGCTTTTTTGTTGCTTGTCTTTCTCCAGTAAAAGTGTAAAACCTAGAACTTTGGCTGATATCAACTGGTTTAGTTTCTGTGCTTATTAATAATAGTGATTGGTGGTGATGATTGCATTCTTGAAAGCATGATGTTATGTTTCAGTTTCTTTGAGTAATTCTCTTTGGCTTCTAAGTTGGTTTTATATCTGTAAAGGTTCTTATTAGGAGGCTTATCTTGCCTGCTATTATGTTAAATTAGAAAACTTTGGGAAGCTTGTGAGAATGAAATTGTATCTCTGGTTATGTAGAGTTTTGATTTCACACATTACTTTGTGGAAGTTATGGGTTCTTGAATATGGCTATGAATTATCGTTATAGGCATGCTTTTTTTTGTTGCTTATCTTTCTGTAATAGAAGCGTAAGACCTAGAAGTTTGGCTGATATCAACTGGTTCAGTTTCTATGCTTGTTAATATTAGTGATTGTTGGTGATGATTGTATTCTTGTAAGCACGATGTGATGTTTCAGCGTCTGAGATAGTGTTTCTTTGTTTTTGGTACAGATCTAGAGTGGAAGCTTATCTATGTAGGGTCTGCTGAAGACGAAACCTATGATCAGTTTTGGAAAGTGTTCTTGTTGGGCCTGTTAACGTTGGGAACTACAGATTTGTGTTGCAGGTAGTGTATGATTTGTTTATTCTTCTCTCTCTCTCTCTCCATTTCTGGTGGTCTATGTTTAGGTACAAAGTCTCAGTTTAACTTTTTGTTCAATTAAATGATAGGCTGACTCTCCAGATCCATTAAAGATCCGCGAGGAAGATATTATTGGTGTGACTGTGCTATTGTTGACTTGCTCTTACATGGATCAAGAGTTTATAAGAGTTGGTTATTATGTGAACAATGACTATGATGATGAACAACTCAGGGAAGAGCCTCCAACCAAGGTTTTGATTAATAAGATCCAAAGGAACATACTCACAGACAAACCTAGAGTTACTAAGTTCCCTATCAACTTTCATCCTGAGGATGAACAGACTGGTGGTGATGGGCCTGCTCCTGCTGAATCATTTGATCATTCTGATGTAAATGGAGAAGCTCAAGTGTTTCTTGCGCAGCCACAACAGCTCCAGGAGACATGATTCTAGTTTGACTTACGCCTAACTGGAAACTGGATTAGAACTATCATCTCACTACTAATTGAAAGATCATGCATTTGTATTTTTGTTTCTTTCATCTAGAACTTGCAATTGTGTTTTTGTTTGTAGAAATTTAAGTTCATTTTTGCAACATCTCTACAATGTGTTCAGAGTTTGTAGTGTCCAGTCTTCTTGTTATGCTAGTCTAAAGTTAATTGCTTTCTTCTTCAATAGATCATACTCCTATAATCCATGAAGTGTAGATTCTCCTCATCTATTACAATACTGTTACAGGAGCTGAAGCAATCACGTGATGGAATTCATCGACGCTCTTCTTCACAAGGCAAGTTTACACTTTGATATCTCTATCTCCTCAAGTGCTATATGTTAGTGAAGTTGAAGTGTTTAGCTTATTGTGCAAAAAAATAGGTAGTGCATTGGTAAGACTTCTGTTCCTCGATTTGTCTATGGTAAGTTGGTATAGCCTCGGGTTTGACATAGTTTATATGTTAATGAAGTTGAAGTGTTTAATGTGGTTGTTTGGGAGAATTGTTCAGAGATTTACTTATCATGTATCTCTTTGATTTTAAAGTTATACACAGTCTGATATTTTAGTTAATTTAAAATGTTTTTGGCAAATGATGTCTTAGCATTGGTCTCTTTTGACATTTTGATGATTTATTATAGTTTCATTGAGCCAATTCAGTGAACGTTTGGTGCATACCAGTTCACAAAGTAAACTCATGTTGATTACTTGTTGATTACTTTTTGCTTGAATTTTTGATACTAGAAGGTTTCCTTCCTTATGCATCTTGTTTGTTTTGACTAGTGGTCTGTTAACATATACTGTGTGTATAATATGTAGTTCACCCTGCAAGAGTCCCTAGTATTTGAGTTATAATCAGGTTCTGAATATACCCAGAGAGTGATCTGTACTCACATCATGCTATGATACATTTCATGTTGAAGTTTTGTCCTCGTTGTCTCACAGCATCAGATATTTTTGTACTCATACAAACGTGCCGTTTCGAGTAAAAAAAGCTTATAGTACAATATAGGATATCAGCATAAACAATATAAGACTTATCATCCACAAAGCTCAAATTCTAGTATCAATTTCTGATTTGAACTTTTCTCACATTGATCACATGACTCTTTTGTTTACTAGAGTGGCGGATCAGAATTTGCAGCGGGAATAGGAGTCTGGAGATTTCAAATCATCATAGCTACAAAATTGGCCCAGTCGGAGGTTTTGCTTCATCATAACCACTAGTTCGAGTCAGTGGTTTCAGTTCATCAAAACCACTTTGTTCCAGTGGGAGGTTTTGCTTCATCATTGCCACTAGATCGTGCTATCCCGGCCACCAGGTCCAGTACTTTGGTAAGCATATATAATAGCTGAACTTGAACAATGACGATTCATTTAGATTGCATTTACATAAAAAATCACTAGCAGTTCAATGCAACCTATGTAGTCTAGCTTGCAGATAGATCTCATAATTAGTTATTTGCTTCAGAGCATAAAACTTTCATTTAGGCCACAAGTTAAATTATACATACAAAGGTAAAAACTACCCAATCAACAATTTTCTCACAAGCATCATATTCAAAAAACATGGTTTATGGCCTTATGGGTTAACTGTTCTTCAGATTTCTTCTTTTTCCTTTCAACTAAGTTTCTCTTCCAGAACAGCTTCCACCAAGACAATTTTCACTGCACAATCAAATAATGCTCTCTTAGTTTTTGTGTTTTTGAAAACCATTGTTATTAACATTTTCAAGTTTGAAGTCCAACAACAGTATCCAAAAGAAACTTCAAGGAACCAACTTATAGTCTGACACTACTGTATAGATTAATGTGAACATCTTAACACAATGCTATAACACTACTGTTGTTGTGAACATAGAACTACCTGGATCATAGGGTCGAGCTCAAACTCTCCAATCTCAATAAAATGATCAGCTTTTAGATTGAAAAGGCTTTGCTGCAAATGCAAGAAACAAACAAGAAACCAATCGCATCAATCTGTTTGTTCTCAAGTAAAACCAATTGAAACATAAACTGATATACCTGCTGAATCTGGTCTATATCTATTGGAACTTTCATATTCGGCTCATTCACATTTTCAGGTGGGAGCATTTGCTGATGTGTTGTACCTTGTGGCTGCACACCCTAAAGCAGAAGAAGATTGCAGAATGTGAGAAATCTAACTGTGGCTGAATACATCAGATAAGATTGCAAAATGTGAGAAATCTAACCGGATGATTGGCAAAGCATTGTTCAACAGATAAAAGATTAACCAATTCATTATAAATAACTGAACTTCTTAAGGCCGCATGTATGTCACAACTGCGAATGGTTGTGCGAGAGCGCGATTGAGTTTGCCTCCATGCACGGAGGGTTACCTCTTGAATGAACATTTCAGAAGCTTTAGCCAAAAGAACAGGACCCTTCCAGCTGACCATCTGAAAAAATGATTTTATCTCACTCAAATAATATATGAATGGAAATTTTGAAAGCACTCAAACATAATCAACAAAAATGAAAGAATCATTGGAAGAAAAAATTGATGTGATTTGTTAAACCTTGACATTAGGATCACATTTCATAACTCTTTTAACTGTAGCCAGAGGTAAATCAGGCTTTTTATGTAATTCTGATAATCACCAAAACAAAACAAGTGAGAGAGTTAGCTAAGGGTAAGCACAAGCTCTTGATAATACTCAAATGAATAACCTGAGGAATTCTGATGAGCCCAAAACATCTCTAGATCTTGATTAAGAAGATCTCTCTGCTCATCGAAAATGAAGTTACATGGATCATTATACTAAAAGGTTGATGACTCGAGAAAAAAAGATTTCAAGCAAAGACTGTGAAAAATGATTAGATTAGTTTACCTCTCGATGCGCAGGATAAAAAGGTCGTCGTTGATCACTTGATTGCGTAAGACTACGCGTTGAAGGCTCGCGATGTTCGTTCATCGAGCAAGTTTCTTGCATAGATGGATTTGGAATGAGTGATGATGTTACAATGACTGGTTTCACCATGGTATACTCCAAAACAAATAATTAAGATCATAAACAATGAAGATGGTGAAGAGAGATTTAGTAAAAAGCACCTATATATATGAAGGTAAAGTCATAACAAACCATAATTTCACTTAAGAGACTACCAATATAACTAGATTCACTACCTATTTGGGAGTTGCAAAGAGGGAAAACAATTAATTACAAAAATGTATACCTTTTATAGCTTGTGAGGCTTGAATAAGATAACCAGTCGCATACATTTTCCGTGAAAGTCACGCGCCATGACTATTGGTTATCATTTATTTCCTATGTGGCGCATGACTTTCACTGAATACGCCCATGACTAGTTATTCCTTATTCAAGCCGCACAAGCTGAAAGAAGTATACATTGATTAATATTGCAACTAATGTTTTTCTCTCATTAAGCTCTAAATATAAGTAGCGAATCTAGTTATATTCGTGTACTCAGCTCTTAAATGATAACTAGTGTTTGTTATGCATCTAGCTCGATATATATATAGCTCGATATATATATATAATAGGTGCTTTTCCAATAAGCTCACGTCAATGTTTATGATTTTGATTATTTGTTTTAGAGTGTAACATGATGAAACCAATCATTGCAACATCATTAGTCATTCCAAATCCATTTGTGCAAGAATCTTACTTGATGATCGAACATGGCGAGCCTTCTACGCGTAGTCTTACGCAAACAGTTGATCAACGAAGGCCTTTTTGTCCTGCGAATCGAGAGGTAAACTCATCTAGTCATTTTTCACTGTCTTTACTTGAAATCTTTCTTTTTCTTCTGTCTTCAACCTTTTTGTAGTCTTAGGCAATCAGTCGATCAACGAAGGCATTTTTGTTTGTGCAAGAATCTTGCGTGATGATTGAACAAGGCGAGCCTTCTAGAGAACAACTATAAATGTTTCCGAGAGAAAGAAACCTTGTAAAAGACTGACATACGCATAAGCAATCAAAGTAACATCAATCAAGAATATATAGTTGATACCTTGCAAAAGAGGGATTCTGAGAGCATATATAAGAGAACTAACATTAAGTTCTCCAACCCTACAAACTTTGAACAATCCATTCCCCAATAGATGTTTCCTTTTAAACACCTAAATATCAAAAACCTTTTTAGAACAAAATAACTAATCTCCAAACCAACACTACCGAAATGATGTTGTGTAATACCTGATAAAGCCATATGATCCAGCCTTTGTCTATCCTTCATCATTTAGATTTTCACTACCATTACATCCATACATGTGAAGCTGTTCATCATCTTAATTCTGCTCCTGCAAACATGCCACAATGTTTGAAATATGAGTAATAATTTCTGTTATCTCCAAATTTCTTCTAATATTTTAACATCTTCTTGTTAAATACAAAACATACATTTTAGAAACGGTCATAAGGACAATAAACTGAAAGTTAACATACTAGAATCACACTACTAACATAATGAAAATATTAAACTTTTCACATCTTTATTAAAACAGCAAAATTATCATTTAATTATGTTAGAATTCTTATAGGAAGTTAATTAACCATCTCCTCGAATCCATTCTCATGCTTTGACCATTCGACATTAACGTAGTATCTAACATTTACGTTTTCAAAAAGACAAAGATGGTTTACATGACATGTATGTATGTGAACATACAAATTTATATTTTTAAGATTCATACTTCCATATGTGATATATATGAATGGTTTTTTTAATATAAAAAATTTCATAAACTAAAACAAAAATTATATAAAGAACACAATAAGGTACTCATATCCTCCTCTATTTGTCAAACTAACTACACAGAATACTCTAGAAATTGGATGGGACTGTTTAAACAATAAGAGTAAACATCACATAAAGGACAGATTGAGAAAGAGCATTGAATAACATATAAATTTTGAAGAAATAACTTTTAAGCATGTAAACAAACTAGAATGAGACTTTCATACAAACAAAACTAAGAGCACATAAAGGACAGATCCATATACTAATATCTTGTTCTAGTTGTTCTAGCTGTTCTATGTGATCAATTATTGAAAAAAAAAAAACAATTTTACCCATGTTAGAATTTCTTGATGGCTAATATCTTGGAACTTGATGAGAAAATAGATGAAAGAAACAATGAAACCAAGAAGATATATCTTCTTCTTCTTTTTAAAATTAAATCAACCAAGAAGATATATCAAAGTCAGAAACTCATGTTGAGAGATAGATTTGTTTTGAGCATGAGGACATTGGTCTTTGTTTATTTATACATGAATACTAGTC